CTTTCTGATTTCTATGTGTTTCTGCTTCCTTTCCAGATGTTCCACAAAGGTGAGCATCAGGGATCACACAGAGAACAAAATGATATCATCATGAGCAGTAGCCCATCAGATTAGGATGCTATCACTAAAAAAAAGTGAAGCCACTTGGAAATATTAGCTAAAAATAACAAGTCTTTTATTTCCAGAAAAATAAATTCCCTCCCTAGTTAAAAGAGAGTTAATAAGTTTTGGTTTTGATTTTTTTCTGGGAAGGCCAAACAAGGTAGATCTAGAGATCTCAATCCTGCATACTGTATGCACCCATGGAAAAACTACATAGTACTTAAAGCACTGGGAACATACTGTAGCTAATGCTGGCCCATATGTTATGAGTTTTATTGTCAGGCAAAATAATATGAATCTTCCATATCTATGGAAATATCTTAGAAGACACTAATGTTTCATGTACAGGGTGCAACAATTGATTTTTCATGGTGAAGTTATGGAAATGATCCCACAGTTATTCTTATAACCAGATGAGTTTGCAGAAAGTCTCATTAAGCTAAAAAGAGTGTGTTTATTTATGCATATTTCTATCATGGCACACAAAGCCCGTTGATTTCATATATTGAAAAGGAGGGGGAAGCGAGTAACATTATCTGCTTTGATCATTTGCATGTTTGTTCCATGAGTCTTCTAATCTATTATGATGTGAAATTTAATTTAATAAGGTCGAACTGGAGCATCTGTCACCAGCCTTACCCAGTGCCAGTAAAATATTCTTACATTTTTCAGTCCAAACTACTTGCCAGAATTATTGAAATGGTTTTTAAAATAGTCCCTTTCCTTCCACCCCAAAGAGTGACCTAAAAGAATGCAGCTTTTGAATTACACCTAATTCTTTATCAGGCCATCTCCTTCAAGGAACAGTTGAAAGGATTTGGCACGACATATATATATGTGTTTTCTTTATATATATATAAAATCTTTGGTTATTAGGGTTTTCTCCTGCGTCAAATGGGAGTATCTTGGCGACGTTTCGACGAAGTCTCATTTGTCATCTTCAGGCTGGTGTCTTTGGCTTCGTGCTTCCAGGAAGCACACGGGAGAAAACCCGAATAACCAAAGACCTACATACAAACACCCGCAAAAATCTCAGAAAACATATATAAATATATAAATCTCCATTTCTAGCAGGGATTAATTTTTACAGCAATCGGTTTTGAGATCTCTTCTTATTTTAGCTTTCTTCCTTCTCGTGATTCAGAATTAATAAGACTCTGAAGAAAGAACGAGTAGCTTCCAATGTCACATTTTCCCTATTAAAAGAAAGAAAAGGCTAAGAAACCCAGCCATCTCACAGGTTTTTTAAAACAGGTGCACATTTATTTGTTTGCAGGAAAAATCCATCTGAATAGAATTTGTTCCTGCTATGGATCTGCTTCCAAATTGCCATGTCTTCTTATCGGGAGACATGGTGGAATTTCTTTATATCCTGGCTGGATGTCAAGGATTATGAATTAGGTCTGAGTGACATAATTTAAATTAACCTATGGGTTATTCTGAGCTAGGGAGGTGATTGAATTCCCTGTCAAACTGCATCACTTTGAAGCCTTGATCAGAGTTGCAATAACTCTGGAAGGAATTCTGCTTATGCTCAGCAGAAGCCTCTCCATCAGTCAGGGAAGACGTCGGAAACAAAGCCAAGTGTTGGGTTTTTGAAGCTGGCTGGCATGCTGCTTTCTGAAACAGCTTTGAAAGCTGCTTCCCTTGTAGAATAGTTGAGGGAAAGCACCCTACTGAAGTTTTGCACCATCATTCGAGTTACCAGTATCTGTAAATCAAACCTAAAAGTTCCATATTTCAGCTGTATCTCTATCATTGATTAAGGAGGGCACCCCCATTTCAGTGCATCCAGGCATTCAGTGCACCCAGGAAATCAATTGAAAGAAATAAAATATAAATAGATGGCATCCATACTCATGTCTTGTGATGTTGCTGTGATTACAAAACCAACCAATGGAAGTGTTGAAAATGAAACAATTCACTTGCCTTTAAACTTCCAACTTTACTACTATTACTATTACTAAATTAAATGGGAAGAGTTCCTCCTCCTCCACCTCCTCCTCCTCCTCCTCCGTTCCCTGAGATTTTTGAAAGGGGTTTTCCTTGTCTTCTTTCTAAGGCCCAAGAGAGAATTACTGCCTCTGGGTCACCCAGACTAAAACAGCTCTAAAACATAAGAGTCTCTTGATTTCTATCTAATGCCCTTAACCCAGGGGTGTCAAACTCAATTTCATTGAGGGCCACATCACCATTGTGGTTGCCGTCAGGGGGCCGGGTGGGTGTGGCCAGGGTAGGTGCGGCCTACTGAGTCGGCGTGGATGGAATGGGTATGGCCTACTGGGTGGGCATGGCCAGCTCTACATCGTTCTCATCAAGGGTGCCTGTGGGGGCCTGGGCAGGAGTGGGACAGATCTGAGGGTCTCTGGCAGAAGGGGTGGGACCGGGGCAAGCGCCAAGGCATGGTGCATTTCTTCATTCCTCACAAAGGGTGACACCTCCCCAGCATGCACCCAGGGGGCAGGGCCGACGCGGCAGGGGCTGGTTCCTTGCTGTTTCCAGACAGCCTTGTGGAGCTAAGACTGAATGCGTTTCAGCATAGATGGCCACCACAAAATTGTACATTGGCTCCCTGCCGGCCTGGGCCAGGGCCAAGGCAGTGGGGGCCGTTCCCTCACTGTTTCCAGGATGGCTTCGCGGGCCACATAAAACCACTTCACAAGCCGCATCCAGCCCGGGCCTTGTGTTTCACATGTCTGCCTTAACCAGTACACAAAATTAGCTTTCTTAGTTCTGGGCATGCCTCAGAAGTATGGGTCACAAAATTTTCAGAAATTTTCATGCTGGCTGGGCAATTCTGGAGTCAAAGTTCACATGGATAGCTGGGAAATTTGTGCTTCATGATGCCAGGACATCAATTATTTTGCATAACATGCTAACAAGAGACCCAGAGATTACATACTGAAGTCTTTTTTTTATTCATGTGACACAGTGAACCTTAAGTTAACCATATCATGTTTATGAAACATGCTAAGCTAAAACATAATTGGCCAGTTAGTGGTGCAGTGTGCCGTGTGACCTGGGTGTCTGATACAAATCACAATTACGATGTGGAAGACACAATGTCATAGTGGCCATGGCATCATTTGCGCAATCACATCATGACACGCGTGACATTGTTGGCCCAGACACCTCTGCTACAAAAGCCCAGCTAAAGTGTTTGCAGCATATCCTTAATTTGGTTAAAGCACAAGAGGAGAAGAAGAGAAAGCTGAAATAATTTTTCAGAAGTTTTTAAACAGCATTTCTGAAATATTTTCTATACTCATCTCACTAGAGGGGGAAAAATCCACATTGTACTCTGACAGGCAATTGCAGCTGCTTGTTGAACTGTAAGCAAAACGACAGCCTGATAATGAAAGAAGACAGAACTGAAGAGTTCCACAGCCATACTTTAAACACATTGAGAATATCTGTCTGCGAAGCATCAAGATCCTCTTTGCTTGAAGTATCTGGCTCTGAGTTAAAAAAATGAAGAGCAAATAGTTCTGAATTACACCTGACCTAACAGGTTGGTCTGAGGGAGCAACATCTTGCTTTTACCGTACTTATTTTAAGCTACCTAGATTTGGCTTTTGGTGAGATGGTGAGAGCATATAAATTTTATAATGAATGAAAACAAAGAAGCAGTCAAATATCTCTGTACACTTGTCTGAAATGTGGAAGAATTAGAACAGTCTGCCACTTACCCATAACAAAGTGAAGAAGGGAGAACCACAGGCTGTGTGGTTCTCTTGGGAAACGGTGGCAAGGATTTTTCTTACTCCTATCAAATTGGAGTTCCAGGGTTTTGGCCTTCAGATAAGATGAAGAATCTCGATAAGCAATTTGCAATCCTCTCTAAAAGACAGATACACTATGGAGGAAGTATATTTAGGCAGTCCTTGACTTTCAACCACAGTAGGGAGAAGAACTAAGCAAGGCAGTTGTTAAATGCAGCTGATTTTATGACCATTTTTGTCATGGGTGTTAAGCAAATCGCAGCAATGAATCACACGGTCATTAAGGGAATCCAGCTTCTCCCATTGACTCTGTTCATTAAAAGCCAGCTGGGAAGGTGACAAATGGTGATCTGTGATCACATGACCCTGGGATGCTGCAACCATTTTAAATACATATTGGTTGCCAAGTACCCAACTTTTGATCACACAACAATGGGAATGCTTTGAATGGTCACTAAACGAGCAGCCTGTACATTGAGGACTACCAGTATTGTATCAGAAGGGCATCAAAATGAGATAAGTGGGCGTTGCTAATTCCCCACTAAACTGGTGAAAGAGTATTGGCAGAGAGAAGTAGTGACCTGTAAATTCAGCCCAACTCTTGCAGAAAACCTGAACAAAGATTGCATCCAATCTTATTCAAATCAGCCCCTCTGGAAGCTCTGGGACAGGGCTGCTCCGTGGAAAACGGTGGAATTCAACACTTGATGGAGTCTACTGAGTTATTTGTTTTTCATAAATGGCTCTGCTCAGTAACAACTGCCAGAGCTGGAAAATATTTGAGGAAGGGTGGAACTGTAAACTGTCTACACTTCTTTCTTTTTTTCCTCAAAGAGTGTTAAAAAAAAATAAGCAAGAATGCAACAGAAAGCAAAAAAAGAGTGCAGTTGGTGTTACCCTTGAAATGAAAAGCAGCACTACCTTAATATTTCTACTTAGTATTTCATTGACCTTGGCTTCAAGGGGCAGTTAATTGTTCTTTTTCTAGCTTAAATTCTGGACAAGTTCAAGATGGGTGGTTTGTTTTCCAGAAGAGAATTAAAGTGACTGGAATTTTGCAAGTAGGTGTTTCCCTAAAAATAGCATTTGTTTGATTACACTAGCCAGCCAGAAGGAAGGGTAACAGCAGCTGGTGTGCCTTACAATCATGTGGTTTAATTCTCAGCTTTGCTCTGCAGCTACAGATTCTGCTAATTCTCTTGGGATTCATCAGGGAAGACAATGAAGGATCGCTGAGCCTTGACAAACGGTTTTGAGGAAGATGCAAGTGGCATGACACAATAGTAAGAGCTATGTGGAAAAGTAATGGCAATTTGCAGAATACAACATAAAGCTGGATCATTGGTGCTTTGCTAAGTAAATTGTAGCTGAAAGGAAGGCAGAAAGAATATAAAGCTTAACATATTATTTACCTAGAGATTGTGACAAAATAGAAATGTCAGAGAACTAATAAAATATCAGGAACCTGCGCCCCAAGGATCAATCGTCCAGAGCAGTGGTTGGATTCAAATATGTGAACAACCAGTTCTCTGTGTGGATGCTGCTTCTGGAAGTCCATTCTGGGCCTGGACAAAAAAAAAAATTAGCTACCAGTTCTGCTGAAGTGGTGCGAACTGGCTAAATCCCACCACTAGTCCAGAAGTTTATTCAAACTATTGAGTTCTTTATATTTCAAGACTTGGGGTAATATTTCAACTTAGACAACAGCCCTAAATATCTTGGTGGTCTTTCATCCATGTATTAACCAGTTCTAACTCTGCTTAGGATGTTTCAAGGTACTGTTTATATATCAAACTATATCAGCCTGAATTGCTTTTGAGTTTTATTGAACTTATAAACTACTATGAAATTCAATAATTTTAATAATCAATACACATTGGCTTTGATTTGGGAATGAAGACTGTTCAATAAAAGATTAAATGCTACCACATTTTTTTTCTTTGAAGATTTTTTTCAAAACGTAAGGAGAAAATCCTTCTGATATTGCAGATTGTTGTTGGCTTTTCAAGATGTTTATGACTATTTTCTCATGTTATTTTTCTCTCCTAATTTTACAACATTTACATAAAATATTCATAGGAATCCAAGCCATATTGTTCTTTACAATCAGAACAAAGAAAACCCAGCAGGATGATGATTCCTTTGAATGCAGAAATATCAACTATGCTGTTGTAGCTCAAAACTAAGAACACAAATAAACTGTATACAGTATAATAACACAGGATTTTGATATTAATAATCTGAGGCACCTGGGAGTGACTTTTCTCCCTGAATTTATTGTATGCTGTACTGCAATAATAATTTCATTTTAGCTGCAATTTTTTCAGTGTTTCTTATAAGAGTTTTCAAGCAAGTGTTTTACTGCAGCAGCTTGGAAAGATATAAACAACTCTTATAAGTAAATAACTTAATATTTAATTAATACTAATTAACAATTGTACTGCATGAATTATGCTTTAATGAAGTAACATAAATGTAACCATTCCTGTTTTTTTAAGCTTCTGGAACCAAATAACTCTAAGAATAGAAACATTAACCTACAGTTGGTGGAAAACATAAATGCTTGAGTTTCAGAACTATCCATTATTATCAATACACAATTGCTACAAATGATTTGCACTACAGTACAAACCAAGCTAGTTATGAATTTGATATTCTTGCTTACCAAACACATCTCTCTTGATGCACATTGAACTGGATATGATGTTAACCCTATCTATACTGGAAACAGAGAACAGTCTTTAAGCCCTTCCATAGCACCGTTTAATACAATTGTTTGACACTGATGTATATAAACCATAATAGTAATCAAAATAATTCATAACTCATAAGTATATTTTTTTTAGTTTTTAGTCCCATTGATTTGCCACCAAAATTAGAAGAACATATTTACTTGATAGGCCTCCTTATTAGAGATGTGGACATATTTTGCAATTAAGCTTGAAAAAAAAACCTATTGGATATTTTACTGCCAGTGAATTCAAGGTAAGAAAATTCTCATTTATCTTTCTCCCCTCCTAAAATCCTGACTCTGGATTAACTGAGGATTCTTGCTTTTCTTTATTTTTCATTACCAAATATCTTTCAGGTTTTCTCCAGTGCAGTGTATGTCTGAGAGAAATATTCTTCTTTATGCCACTCTTGGAATGACCACGTACCATCACCTGATCCCTTGATCAGTTCAGGGATCCTGCCGCTTAGATGTTGCCTATGAGGAAAAACAGGGATCTGCTGAACCTGAAGTCCAATCTGCCTGAGACACAACTGAAAATGTCTGCATAAAACAGAGTTCCTGTCCAGAGAAGTCATTTTCCAAAATGGAAAAGTTGTATTAAATCCCCCCCCCAAAATAACATTGTTCACATTTCTAAGCCCGAGGTTTGTCATTTGTTCCTATAACTTTACCGCAAAGCAATTTGCTTTCTTCAAGGGAAACATTGCACAGATAGAAAAAGAAGGTAAATGTTTATGTGTTAAACATATTTATTATAATTACTGTTTTAATCTCTCTCTCTCTCTAAGGGACTGCAGGAGTTACCAGGAAAGGTAACCAATCCTGAAACCATGCATTTCAGGTTTTCAGGATAAGAATGCCCATCTTGAACTAAGCACAGAAAAGAACAGAAACCCAAAAGGAACCAGTTTTCTGCCTTGTTGCCTCCGGATCAAAGTCTATCATATATTCTGACTGGATTTCAGGAAACAGCCACCATACAGATTTTTAAAACTATCTCCTCCTCCTCCTCCTCCTCCTCCTCCTCCTCCTCCTCCTCCTCCTCCTCCTCTTCCTCCTCCTCCATTTTCTTCTTCTTCTTCTTCTTCTTCTTCTTCTTCTTCTTCTTCTTCTTCTTCTTCTTCTTCTTCTTCTTCTTCTTCTTCTTCTCCTCCTCCTCCTCCTTTTCTTCTCCTTCTTCTTCTCCTCCTTCTTATTCTCCTTCTCCTTTTCTTCTTCTCCTTATCTATCTTCTCCTCTATTTTCTCCTTCTCTTTTTCTTGTTTTTTTTTCCTCCTTTTCTTTCTCCTCCACCTCCTATAAACAACTCATCCTGTAGTTGATGAGTAAGGGACTCAGAAATTATTGGATTACTTGAAGCTGATGAGGGCTACAAGTATCATATAGCATGCTTTTTGGAGTAGCCCACCCCTTTGGAATGAATTGAGAACTTAATAAAACAAGCTGCAATATTTCACCTGACTGAAAATAAGCAAACATTGTACACCAACTTAGTTATTGTGGGCTTTCCAGATGAATAAACTACTTGGACAGTCAGTGGGATTCTAATTGCATCAATCTGGTTGCACTTTCTTCCCCTGTGTTTGCATACTGTGCAAATTACAGTGATAAGCTGTACATTTAATAAGTCAACACTGTGTGCAGACTTGTGCAAAGACAGCAGTTGAACCAGTCAGCTGTCCTATGGCCTGAGAAGTGAGGTTCATTAAATCTATCCACTCAATTTTCTTGGAATAACCAAAAGTCACTACTGCTGCTTCTTAAGAGACTTTCCAGCAAATTTAATTTAAACAAATAACACATTCCTCTCTAGATTCAACACATTTGCACTCAGGTTATTTGGGAGGAGTATGCAAAATATTGCAAAATAATCTTCCCTGCACAACAAGAATAAAATAGCAGCATAGCAGGGGAGGTTTTAGAAGAGGCCCAGTTCAAATTTCTCCCATTTTATTTCTAGATATCTGAATTGTAAACTGAGGGATTTTTGTGAAAGAGGGACAAATGTATTTCAAGCTTGCTCACAGCAGTCTCCTTTTTTAAAAAAATTAAATGCAGTTTTGTCCTTGCTTTAGATGTTGACAGTGAGTTCTTTCCCCTTCTCTCCAGCTTTTTATTTTGAAATGAAGGCATATTGCATCCTCCATGCAGGACACTAAATAAATAAATTGATTAATTCTTTGTATATCATTCTGAGATTAACTAGGCACTTGTAAATTGTCTGCCATTCTGCAATTGCAAGTTTTGATTGTATTTACTTAATTGTAAACATGCTGGACCCATCTGGACTAAAACCACTTCACATATGGGTGAAGTCTGCTCCTTTCCTTAGTTTTCCTATTATTGTTGTTTTTAAATCATTTTTCTCTCATCCGTTTAAACTCATTCATTCATACTAGTGAAATTTCTTATTTTCCTTTACCCCATACCTAAGAAGGGAGAATGATTTTATTTTTATAGCAAAAAGCTTGGAGGAAAAAGTAATTGCTTTCTCCCTCTACTAAATGGTCCTTATCTAGATCAGGGCTGTGAGTGTTTAAAGTAATCACAAATGGAAAGATAATGGCTCACCATGCCATTGTGTGTTGTCTTGCAGATTCATCAGCAATTTGAAAGTGTCAATCTTTTTTCCTTGCTCTTTTTTTAATGTCTAGAGTAAGACTACATTATTTTAACTGTATTTATGGTCATATCCTTACCCTTTGGAAGAAGAAGGAGAAGGAGAAGAAGGAGGAGGAGAAGGAGAAGGAGAAGGAGAAGAAGAAGAAGAAGAAGAAGAAGAAGAAGAAGAAGAAGAAGAAGAAGAAGAAGAAGAAGAAGAAGAAGAAGAAGAAGAAGAAGAAGAAGAAGAAGAAGAAGAAGAAGAAGAAGAAAGAAGAAGAAGAAGAAGAAGAAGAAGAAGAAGAAGAAGAAGAAGAAGAAGAAGAAGAAGAAGAAGAAGAAGAAGAAGAAGAAGAAGATGATCTTGGAGGTCATCTAGTCCAACCCCCTGCTCAGGCAGGAAACCCTTTACCATTTCAGACAAATGGTATAGTGTTGGAGCATTCACAGCTTCTGGAAGCAGGTTGACCCCTGATTAATTGTTCTGTCAGAAAATTTCTCCTTGGTTCTAGGTTGCTTCTCTCTTTGATTAGTTTCCATCCGTTGCTTCTTGTCCTGCCTTCAGGCGCTTTGGAGAATAGCTTGACTCCCTCTGAGATATTGGAATGCTGCTATCATGTTTCCCCCTCGTCCTTCTCTTCATTAAACTAGACATACACAATTCCAGCAACCTCCAGTGTGATTTAGCAACCAGCAGCCTCCATGTTTTAGCCTCCAGTGCCCTGATCATCTTTGTTGCTCTTCTCTGTACTCTTTCCAGTGTCTCAACATCTTTTTTATATTGTGGTGACCAAAACTGGATGCAGTATTCCAAGTGTGGCCTTACCAAGGCATTGTAGAGTGGTATTAACACTTCACGTGATCTTCATTCTATCCCTCTGTTAATGCAGCCTAGCACTATGTTGGCTATTTTGGCAGCTGCAGCACATTGCTGGCTCATATTTAAGTGATTGTCATTAGGACTGCAAGATCTCTCTCACAGTTGCTACTATTGAGCAAGGTACCACCTATACTATACCTGTGCATTTAGTAATCCTTGCCTTCCTCCAAAGTGTCAATCTTTTCTTTCTTTCTTTCTTTCTTTCTTTCTTTCTTTCTTTCTTTCTTTCTTTCTTTCTTTCTTTCTTTCTTTCTTTCTTTCCTTCCTTCTTCCTTCCTTCCTTCCTTCCTTCCTTCCTTCCTTTCTTTCTTTCTTATTTTCTTTCCTTTCTCTGGATTGCCCACCTTTATTTCTTTATGGTCACCTGTCCATGTTAATGATGCAGGTTGGCATTGCCTTTTCCTTCTTAATACTTGATTAACTTTCCTAGCTTTATTTCCTACAGGTTCTCTTTTCATCCTTTCTCTTTGGCTAACAAAGTGGTGCCTTCTGCATATCTGAAACTGTTAGCATTTTGACTTCTAAGTTTGATATCGGAGGTCACCTCTTCAAATATTGCCAATCTTCTTAAATACACACTGTGTAATGAACATTGATTGTTGGATAGCAGTGATCTTTTCCTATTCTCTTCCCTATTTTAAACCCAATTTTCCAAGTTGGACTGTTGGTTGCCCCTGCCACTAGCGATCCTATCAGTGGTGAGCTGACAAGTGTTGGTCCACACTATGCCATCAAAACAAATTAGAGTAAACATCACCTGGGTCTCACTTTCCATTTCTACTCTGCTGCTGTTAAGCACATACAAGTGTTTCATCAAGGAGTAACTGTCCATGCAACTTAACGATGGTATTGCTTCCAGTGACTCTGGAAATGTGTGTCTCCTTCTGATAGATACAGACAAAAATATAGATTGGTATTTTTCAAACTTAGCAACATTAAGATGTTGTCTGAACTTCAGTCCCCACATTTAGGGCATTTATACACCAGCCTATGCTATGCTGGATTTGATGGATTGAAATTGTGGCACTTCCCCTTTCAGTATCTTTTCCTTTGCTGCTATAACTAGCACTTCCTTCCACTTCAATCTCATGGCAAAGAGTTTTTCTTTAATAAAATAAACATGACATTAGTCCTCAATAGGATGTGAGTTGGATAATGCTGCTTATATGAAATATAGTATGCTTCATAAATATTTACTATATCTGTCCTGCTGTGTTCGGTTCATAGGATTGTAGCTTGTTCCTGCCATCAAAACAAACTATTGGCATGAAATCACAATTTCCAGCCCTATGCAGTTATCCGAAAAAAAGTATTATTAATGGCTTGAAACGTGAGGGGGGAAGATTAGACTAATTCAGAGTGAAAAATGTCAGTTTAGGCTCCAGTCCTAAACTTGGTTCAAACTCCCCAAAATTTATAATTTCCTATTAATTATAACTGGAAAACACCAGTCATAATTACCCTTCTATGTAACAGAACATATTTTAACCAATATTAGCCACTTGCCCATTAAAAAATAATCTGACATTTAGAAAAATGGGTAGGAATTATGGCCTTTTATGAAAAGGAGACATATATCAAAAGAAGACATTTTTAAAGAAAGGGTTTTGGCAGAATTGGAACTAATTTGCCTCTTTTTAGGACATAAGACTTGCCAAGTTTCAGAGGATAAGATTCTCGTACGTCATACCTGGTACCTGTGTCTTGTTATCCATTCTTAAATATACTATCCCTCCACAGATACATCTTTCATGCCAAAAATCTCATTTTTAGAAGTTTCAGCACAACCTTTCCATTGTCCTTTCACTTTACTGGTTTCTATCAGATATGGTCTGTAATTACATTTAAATATTCCCACCTCTACTGAACTTTTTCCAGCTGTTACCCTGATTTTTTTTGGGGGTTAAAAATATCTTTCTTGACATATCTTTTTGTTCTTTCTTAGATGTTGAAAATTTTATATTTGGTCACTGTGTGTCTCTTGTGGTAAACAAGGTTGTCCCTCTCTGCCTTTCCTGACACTCATAATAGCTTGTTTTGAAAGCTTCCTGGATAGTTTATTTTTTTATCTGAATCCTGCCTTTATTATTTTTACAAATAACTCAAAGCAGCGAACGTTGAAACACTTAAATATATTCATTTTTGCATCTGTCTCTTTTTCGCATGGATGGAAAAGTCTAATTCTTAAATATTTGTACATGGCTGAAAATGGTGGGTATATGGGATAAAAGGCATGAGAATGTCATCACCACTTGTGACAGATAATGGTGACCTTGGGGGCACCCCTTAGAAGAGCCACTTCTCTATGGCTGCAAAGAGGTTGCTGACCTCTCGTTAAGAACTGGTTTCTTACTCAATATTGACTTTTTATCTTGGAATTGCCTGCTATGGGATTGTGCCCCTTGACACTCAATGCCAGCTTCAGACAATCATAGGTATTTTTATTGTTTTAAAACA